TTTTCCCAAGGTTTCCTGGGCGGCGGATGCCGTTTTTTCGGATTCCGCGGTCCCGGGGTTTGCCCTCGAATTTTTTAAACACCTAAAAAGCTGGTTAACCGTTTGCCACGCCAGGGGGGTGGGGAGGAGGAAAGACAAGGGTGGCATTTGCAACCCGTGCCAGTTTTGGGGGGTCCATGGGCCCTCATCGAGGTGCTGAGCGTGGGAAAGTTTGTTATTCAGCGGGTCCCCCCCCTCCCGAAGAATTTTGGGGACCCCGTCCCCGAAGCCCCCGAACGTTTGGAAGTGGAGCAAACGCAGGTCGCAATTTTTTTCCCGCGGGAACCGGTAGTCGCCCTTTTGGTAGGGGGCCGTCAAAGGGGCCGCCCCCGCTTCCGCTTCCCCCTCATTTTCCCCCTCTTCTTTTTCGGCGGCGGCGGCTTCGGCTTTTGAATCTTCGGCTTCCTTCCCCCCCCCCCCCCCCCCCTCCGGCCGCGGCCATGCAGCATGCCCTAACACTAAGGCGAGCAGCGCCCGCTCGGTGTTGCCGAAGGCGACAAAAGCCCCCTTCCAGCCGAGCCGGTCGCCACCGCCAGCGAGCTCGTAAGTTTCAAGTCGCCAACGAGGCGCACATGCCCTTTGCCGATGTTCGCCGCCGCCACGTCAGGTTGTTTTGGGTTACTGTAACTGAGGTGTGCAGTCGGCTCCATCTCGATGAGCATGCCCCACGCCGAGCGAAGGGTCTTGACGAGTCGTTTGAGCAGGTATTTGTGTCGTGTTGCGTGCTTCGCACGCGGGTTGACCATTGCGGCATCGCCGAGTTCTTCGTGCGGCTTGCCGTTTGGCGCCTTCTTGCCCGCCTCCACCGCCTGGCAGGCAACATCGAGCGGGAGGCCGAGGCGGCGCTGAACTGTAATGCGCATCGCCCACGTCTCCATCTTCATATCATCCCGCATGGGGATCGCTGTACAAAGAATTTAAACAAAACAACTCTCTCTCACAGTACAAAGAATTGTACTCGAGTACCCCATGTATCGTAGTTTTTGTTAGTATCATTTTTCTTGAGTTTTGGTCCTCCGAGATTTTTGGTGACTGCCGCAGTATTTGGTGTTGGCAAAAACGGGCTTCGTCGCCGATCTCGCCGACGCCGCTCGCCGCTCGCCGCCGCCCTGCCTTGCCCTGCCCTGCCCTCGCACAAACAATGAAACAAACCAACACAGACACACACACAAACAGACACACACACACACAATACCTTGCCCCCGTGCCCTCCCGCCCCACGCCCCGCGCCCTCCCGCCCCACGCCCTGCGCCTCACGCCGCGCGTCCCACGCACGCCCCGCCCCCCGCGCCCCCACGCCCCTCACCTCGCGCCTCACGCCTCCCTCCCACCCTCTCAGGCATTTCTCCTCCCTGCTGCTCGCCGACTCCTCCTCCCCCCGCACGACCGACGACTACCCGTCCTTCAGCGACTCCTCCCTCTTCGGCGCCAACGCCCACTACCCGTTCGGCCCGGTGAGGGGCAGGAGCGGAGCCATTCCAACGGCTGGGAAAATTTCTGAACGGCCGTGCATGCGCCTGCATGCCGGACAACTAAGAAGGTCCCTCGCTCCTGCTCCTCTCTCGGAAGACGTGCGCCGGCCTGGGGGATTCGCTTGCGATCCCGCTCCAGCCAGAGGCCGCGTGAGGCGTGTGGGACGGTGCACGCTGGGGCTTGGCCCCAAGTGCGCTGGCCTCGCGTCTCGGAGGGGAGGGCGGCTCGTAACTGAGGTTCGCCGTCAGAGACAGTCGTCCTCGCTCCCCTCCTCGGCCATTCCAACGGCCAGGCCGCTCGCTTAAGGCTGATTGGCTAGACGAGCGGTCTACCTCCAATGGGGCTGTCTGGGAACGCGTGGAACCTGCCCGCCTCGGTGGGAGGTGGTTTGGCGCCGACGGACCGCCCTCTCCACCACCCTCGCCCAGGGATCTACAATGCTGTCTCAAGGTCCGACCTGTGGGCTCCGGCCTGCGCTCGGCACCGGGCACCGCCTCGGTATACTCCGAGGACGTCCGCCGCAATTCGGACAATGCTCTTTCCCACGCCCGCCACATGACGCCCACCGCCGCCGCGTCGGTCGGCGCGCGCCGACGCCGACCATCACCACCGACCGACGGCTCGCACGGCCGTGCGGTGAGCAAAAATTTGGGTCGCTGCGCGCCTGCCGGCGGGAACGCGTGGAACCTGCCCACCTCGGTGGGAGGTGGTTTGGCGCCGACGGACCGCCCTCTCCACCACCCTCGCAGTCGCCCAGGGATCTACAACGCTGTCTTAAGGTCCGACCTGTGGGCTCTGCCTGCGCTCGGCACCGGGCACCGCCTCGGTATACAAAATGCGCCTGCGGGCGGACCCTCACAGATCACAGATCACACACACAAAGTGGTGGGGCAAGGGGGGGTGACCCTCGCATCTCCACGCCATTACAGCTCAGTATCTAGAATATCTGCTATCGCCCGTGTTTTTTTCTTTTCACTTTTCTGCGGATCCCAATTTCTTTGTTTCCGCACGATGGTGGTGCCCGCGTCGACGCCTTCTGCGCCGCCAAGCAACGCCGCGCCGCCTCCCGGGTCCGAGACTCTGGAGGTGGGTGGCTGGCAGGTCGTCGTCACCGACGGGCACGCGGTGCTGCCCGAAGGCATGACGCACCTGCCGGACGGGGCGTTCTTAAACCGCATCTCTCTCGTCTCGGTCGCCTTCCCGCGCAGCCTCGTCTCCATCGGCGAAGGCGCCTTCGCCTTCTGCTCCTCGCTCGTCTCTATCGACCTCCCTGCCAGCCTTACCTCCATCGGCGACAGCGCCTTCCAAGATTGCTCCGCCCTCACCACCGCCGCCTTCCCCGCCGGCCTCACCTCCATCGGCAGCCACGCCTTCGCCAGCTGCTCCGCCCTCTCCTCCGTCACCCTCCCCGCCGGCCTCACCTCCATCGGCAACCTCGCCTTCCACGGCTGCTCCGCCCTCGCCTCCGTCACCTTCCCCGCCGGCCTCACCTCCATCCGCATGCACGCCTTCTGGGGCTGCTCCGCCCTGGTCTCCGTTAACTTCCCTGCCAGCCTCACCTCCATTAGCGATCACGCCTTCTTCCGCTGCTCCTCGCTCGCCCATGTCACCTTCCCCGCCGGCCTCACCTCCATCGGCATCTACGCCTTCAACGGCTGCCCCTCCCTCGCCCGCGTCACCGTGCCAGACACCGCCACGATCGGCGACGAGGCTTTCGATTCTGAGACCACCGTCCTCCGCCTCCGGCCCGCAAGCATGCGCGACCTGCAGCGCTGGTACGAGGCGGTGGACGGGGCTCTGGCCTACAAGCGCTGCCGCCCCCTCCTCTACGGCTGGCTAGAGCGGGCCCAGACCAGGCTCGGCTCTTACGGCCCGGACGGCGCGGCGCGCCAGCGCGACCGCGAGGAGTTCGAGGGCGACTTTGCGCACCTCGCGCTCCATGCAGACTGACCCAGGCGTGTGAGCGGTGACGATTGAAATCGCTGTGACTTCGCTAGTTGCTGCACCCGCCCACGCCCATTCCATGCCCCGCCCATGCCACGCCCGTGCGCGTGCCACATGCCGTGCCCCATCCACAAATCGGCTGCCGCACCCGCCCTTCTCTGCGGCGCTTGCCCGCCAGCCCTAGGAGCCCCTCCCGCCTGGGCGCGCCGCCCCGCATGTACATGTACATGTGCATGCCCGCATGTACCGTCGAGTTTTGTGTCTTTGTATATAACAGAGTTGAGAGGGCCGCAGGGGCGGAGCTCGCCTTGCCGACCGCCTCCTCCCGGCCAACATACCCGCCGAGTGCCGCGTACGTGGCGCCGGCGTCGCCGCTGGCCATCCCGGCTGCCGCCGGGCTCTCGTCGCCAGCCCTCGTGCTGCGCCGCTCCCTTGGCTGTGTCGGAGCGGGCTCGCAGGTCAGCAGCGCGTCCCCAGCCTCGTCGCCGTCCCCCTCGACGTCGCTCCCCTTGTCGCTGGTGGCGACCGCGCTGCCGCTGTCGGTCGCGCTGGCCGGCAGCGCGTCCGCAGCCTCGTCGCTGCCCTCGCCGTCGCTGTCCTCGCCGCTGGTGGGGGCCGCGCCGCCGGCGCCGAGCGTCACCCGCCTCCACGACACTTCCTCTAAGTTGAGCCGGAAATCCTGGTCGGGGTAGCCGTCGTACTCGACCGCGTGCACGAGCCGGCCGTCCGAACCCTCCCCCCGCCCCGTGATGAGGCCCGGCCACCACCTCTGCTCGCCCAGGATCTCCACGTGCGTGCCAGTCTCGACGACAGCGTGCCCGGCGATCCTCGCCGCCGCGTCCACGCGCAGCCGTTTCCGCCGCGCCGTCTTAGACTCCGCGGCCTGCGGCAGGACGTAGTTCGGGCCGTACTCCGCGACGTTCGCGAGGACCTCGGCCGCGCTCACCGTCTCGACCGCGGCCTCGACCGGTGGAGGGGGGGGCTCGACCCGTCGTTCGACCCGTCGTTCCGTGACCTCCCGCGCCAGCCGCTCGCCAGCGAGGGGCTCCTGATGCGCCGCCCGTCGGTCGACGCCCTCGCCCCTGCGCTCAGCCAACGACGCCGTCGCTGTCCTCGCTGACGTGACCGTGATTCGAGGCCGCCCGTCCACCATTGATGCCGTCCAACACCAAAGTCGTTCCCCCTCCAACACCAAAGTCGTTCCCCCCCCCCCCCCGTCCCCCTCGGACACGTCCCTCCCTGTCCTCTCGACTGCTTCCCTCTTTTACATAATAAATAATAATGCTTTTTAGCTCCGAGTAGAGGGGGCGCTCCGCCGAGCTAGGGGACGAACCCAGAGAGCGCTGAGACTAACGTTATAGAACACCCTCGGAGAGAACCGTGTTCTTTGTCGAATACTTTACGGCCCCACTCGCTTGCTTTTTTTCGCTCCAGTCCTGCGGATCTTCATAGTAGTTTTAGTAGACCGGAGGGCTACGAAGCCTTCACACTCCAAGGGGCTGTTACGGCCCTTTCCCTGCGAACGGGGGAACGCGCACCCCCCCAGGGCTAGGGCTCTCTAGCCCGTAACCCGATACCGATCATCTGACATCTGCCGGATCTGGCCCGCTGGGTGCGTTCTACTTAATAGCTCCCCGGCCCTGGATGTGAGGTTACCGACTGCACTCCAAGTGCTCCAAGTGCTTTCCTCGCTCTCCAAGTGCTCCAAGTGCACCCAAGAACCTTGAGCAAGGTTTGGTCAAGGGTGTTGCCGAAACCAAATTTGTAAAATTATTTTTGTTCGCTACGCCAGGGAGGACAAGGACCTTCGGTGGGTTCGGGAAGGGGGTCCGCGAGATCCTCTGGAAGGCGTCGAACGAGCTGCAGAACAAGCTGACGCGGGCCCAGTCAGTAGCAGTACCTCGACGAGGTGACCATGACCACCTAGAATTGGCTAGGGCTGCAGAAGCAGCGTATCGCGGTACCTTTGTCGCTTGCAAAATTCTTTGTTCCGCACCCCTGTCATCACCTTCGACGACTGTATTGCCGCCTCGAGGTTCACAGGCTGGGGCTTCCAGACAGTCATTTCTCATCTGTCCTCTCCATGAAAGCCACCGCCTTTGCGGCCGCCATCGCCTTCCTCTGCTTCGCGACTCCGCGCCGGCTCCACGGCCCCTTCCTCTACGACGACGCGGCCGCTATTCAGCGCAACCCAGTCGTGAATGGACACGTGCCGCTGCACGCAGCGATGGCTCTCGACTTCTGGGGCGAGGAGATGTCCTCGCCTCGCTCGCACAAATCCTTTCGCCCGCTGGTGACGCTCTCCTTTCGGCTGAGCCGCGTGCTCCAGTGGGAGAGCGACGGGGACTCGACGTTCGGCTTCCACCTCTTCAACGCTGGGCTGCACGCCTTCGTGACAGGAATGGTGCCGGCCTTCGTCAATGCTGCCTTTGGCTGGCGACGCGGCGGCAGGCGTGCGGGCGCGGCCGCGGCGCTGCTGTTCGCGCTGCACCCAGTGCACGTCGAGGCGGTGCAAAACGTGGTGAGCCGCGGCGAGCTGATGATGGCGGCCTTCTACCTCGCCGGCTTCCTCGGTTACGCGCATGCAGTCGGCACGCCGCAGGAGACCGCATCGCAGGCTGCTGCTCGCTCTGCCGTTGGCCTCGCCTCCGCCCTCCTGGGCACTCTCTGCGCGACCCTCTGCAAGGAGACGGGCGTGACGCTGCCGCTGCTGTGCGCCAAACACGGGAGCTGCGGGGTGGCAAAGGAACCTTCTAAGAGCCTTCTCGGAGCCTCGCAGGTGCGCCGCCTGGGAGCTGCTCGTGGTGGCCCGCGTGAGTACGCACCGCATGGCGCGGCTCGAGTGGCCCTTCCCTCCGGCCCGCCCGCTCCTCCCCTCGGCGGCTCTCGCCTCTCCGCCCTCGCCCTGCTCCTGACTGTCAATCATTGTAAGTGGAGCGGCTCTGACAAGTGTGTAGGCGGCTCGACTCTCCGCCCTCGCGGCCGGCAACGCGAGCATCGCCGTGTGGAGGCTCCGCCTGAACGAGGGCCAGCCGCCCGCCATCAGCACAAAGCAGAACTGGCCGGGCTTCTACCCGCACCCGCTCTGGCGGCCGCTGTCAGTCGCTTGGGTGTGGCTCGAGTACGCCTCCCTCCTCCTCTTCCCCTCGGAGCTCTGCTGCGACTGGTCCGCCCCCGCCCTCCCCCCAATCACGTCCCTCGCCGACCCGCGGCTCGCCGTGCTCGCTGCCGCCGCCGCCGCCACGGCCGCCGCCCTCGCCGCCGCCACGCTGCGGCGCACGAGTCGGCGGTGCCTCCTCTCCGCCCTCACCGCGGCGCTCCCCTTCCTCCTCGCCTCCAACCTCCTCTTCCCGGTCGGCACCTGCAAGGCCGAGCGGGTGCTCTACCTCCCTTCCCTCGGAGGCTGCATGCTCGCTGCCCTCGCCCTGCTGGCCCGCCCTCTGCCCGCCACCCGCCTCTGCCGCCCCGCGCTGCTTGGGTGCGTGTGCGCCGGGCTGGCGGCGGTCTGCTGGTGGTACGCGGACGTGTGGACGGACGGAGTCGCGCTCTGGGCCAACGCGGTTGCGGTGCAGGAGAGGCAGTAGCAGCAGCAGCAGCAGCAGCAGCAGTGGCAGTAGACTAGTAGCGTGGTGCAGAGGTGGGCGAGCGGCCAGTCAGTCGTGAGCCCATGAGTGTGGCTGTGGCCAGCAGGACGCGCGGGCGGGCTCGGGTAATCTCGGGTAATCTCGGGTAATCTGTGCCCCTGGCCAGCAGGACGCGCGGGCGGGCTCGTGGCTCGGCGGCGGAGCGACAACGTCGGCGCTCTCGGAGCTTGGGATGCAGGCGGGCCGCCACAGAGGGCCCTCGAGCCACCGGACCTCTCCGGCCTAAGACCTCGCACCGCTTGCTTCTGCCCACCTCGCCCCTCGAGCCTTCTCCCTCCCTCACCCCCTGTCCCTCTCCTGCCCTGTAGCTGTCGTGGGCAGGACGCGGCGCCGAGGCGGTCCCTGTCCTGCACCGCGCCCTCTCCCTCGCGGAGGAGACCGCGTCCTCGCCCGACCTCATCGACGGCTCGAGGTCGCAGGACATGTCTGGGTACGTCCCTCTCGCGATCGCGCTGATGAACGAGGGGCAGGCCAAGGGCGGCGCGCTCATCGCCGACCGCTGCGTCCGCCGGCTCGCAGGCCTGGGAGGCGCCGAGGCGGCCCGGACGCGAGCGCGGTGCCTGGCCACCGCCGCCCTCACGCGCCACAAGGCGGACCCGGAGCGCGCGCGCAAAGAGGCGCTCGAGGCGTTGCGGCTCAGCCCGCACGACGCGGCGACAGCGTCGCTCGCGCGGCAGGCGCTTGAGGCGGTGGGCGTAGCAATGTAGGGTCTAAAGAAGCCCAATTTAGAGAGGGGTGCGAACGAGCGAGAACAAAGATCGAAAGAAAGAGAGAGAAGAGCGTGAGCTTGTGCGGCCTAGTCCACCTAGATGCGAGGTGGTGGTGAAACGGAGAGGTGGCGGTTGCGGTGGTGGCGGCGGTGACCGCGGTGTGTCTGTGGCAGCGCCAGCGCGCAGCGGTCGATGCGAGGAGCGAGGGCGAGGGGCGGAGGCGTCCTCTACTTTACAAGGAACCGGCAGAGGATGCAGTGACGTGACCCCCCCCCCTCACACAACACACACGCGCACACACACACACACACACACACACACACACACACACACACACACACACACACACACACACACACACACACACACACACACACACACACACACACACACACACACACCCCGCTCACCCGCACGCGCACTGGGCCTTGCACTTTTAATGCCGTGGGGCTCCTGTCGTCTAGACGTGGAGACGCGAGGGCCGCCCCCCCTTGCCCCACCAACTCTCGTGACTCGTGTGTGTGGAGAAGTTTACCTTACCTTACCTTACCTTAAGGGGTCCCGTACCAAGCGGAATCGACCCTATCCAGTGCTCAAGTGCTCAAGCCCTGACTTTGCACACACAAACCGGAATGAAATTTACTCATAGAATAAAGGATAAATTTCAGAGAGGCGGCGGATGCGGGCGCGGGGCTCGCCGACCAGGGAGATCCGGCCCGGCCTCCCGGGGAGGGGTGGCGACGAGACACGATGCCGCCGCCCTCGCCCGGGGAGACCCCGGCCGGGCCGTCGATGCCCTCGGAGTCGGTGGAGCCGGAAGAAGCTGGCGAGGACGAAGGGCGGCAGCGGAGGAAGCGGCACCAACAACGAGGGAAACGGCCACACCAGCCGTCGCATGACGCTCGGGAGACGAGCAAGAGAGCGAATCAAGGAGGATCGGGACCCTGGGAAGACGGGGGGTGAGCCCTCAGGCGGGGGGGTCTACTCAAGTGGCCTGTGCGAGTGAGTGCGGAGTGGTGGTGTGGGGCGTGCAGTGTGGTGTTCATTAGCTCCGAGTAGAGGGGGCGTCCTGCAGTTAAGGGGAAACCCGGTACGCGGGGCCAACCCTCGGAGACCCGTGTTTACTTTTACGGCCCTTGCCCTGCGAACGCGCACCCCCAGGGCTAGGGCTCTCTTGCCCGCAACCCGATCCCGATCACCCGGCGTCTGCGACTTTTTGCCTCGCAGATCACCCAACACGGTGAAATGTCATTTCCAGATTACCCAACACGGCGAAATGTCGTTTCCAGGTTACCCGGCTCCCGAAATTTCTTTTTCCAGATCACCCGGTAATGGGATGCGCCGGGTAATCTGAAAGAGTTGTACAGCGCCGCGGCGGTGGCGGAGGCGGCGGTGCGCAGCGGGTTGACTGGCATCACCCCTCAGAACCTGGCCAACACGGTGTAAGCGTATGCGACGGCAGGCGTGGCTGCAGACTCGCTGTACGCGGCGGTGGCGGAGGCGGCGGTGCGCGGCGGGCTGGATTGCTTCAAGCCGCAGGAGCTGGCCAACACGGTGTGGGCGTATGCGACGGCGGGCGTGGCTGCGGACGCGCTGTACGCGGCGGTGGCGGAGGCGGCGGTGCGGAGCGGGTTGGCTGGCTTCAACCCTCAGGACCTGGCCAACACGGTGTGGGCATACGCGACGGCCGGCGTGGCTGCGGACGCGCTGTACGCGGCGGTGGCGGAGGCGGCGGTGCGCGGCGGGCTGGATCGCTTCAACCCTCAGGACCTGGCCAACACGGTGTGGGCGTATGCGACGGCAGGCGTGGCTGCGGACGCGCTGTACGCGGCGGTGGCGGAGGCGGCGGTGCGGAGCGGGTTGACTGGCTTCACGCCTCAAGCCCTGGCCAACACGGTGTGGGCGTACGCGACGGCGGGCGTGGCTGCGGACGCGCTGTACGCGGCAGTGGCGGAGGCAGCGGTGCGTGGCGGGCTGGATCGCTTCAACCCTCAGAACCTGGCCAACACGGTGTGGGCGTATGCGACGGCGGGCGTGGCTGCGGACGCGCTGTACGCGGCGGTGGCGGAGGCGGCGGTGCGGAGCGGGTTGGCTGGCTTCAACCCTCAGGACCTGGCCAACACGGTGTGGGCGTACGCGACGGCGGGCGTGGCTGCGGACGCGCTGTACGCGGCGGTGGCGGAGGCGGCGGTGCGCAGCGGGTTGACTGGCTTCACGCCTCAGGAGCTAGCCAACACGGTGTGGGCGTATGCGACGGCAGACCATTATCACCAGGCGCTGCTTGCAGACTGCTCGCGCGTGATCTGTGACTCGCTCGCGCGGGATCCGTCGAGCTGGAGCGAGGGCCGCCGTCAGATGCACCAGTGGCAGCTCTGGCTCTCCCTGGAGCGAGGAGCAGACGGGCAGCAGCATCTCCTCCCCGCCCCCCAGCGCCAGCTTTGCCGCGACGCCATGCAAGACACGCAAGTGACGATCTCTGAGTTCCAGCGCTCTGTCGCGGTTGCCCTCGCCGCCGTCCAGCACGGCTTCGAGGAGGAGCATCTCGAGCCGCGCACCGGCTACTCGATCGACCTGGCGCTGCCCTCGTCACGCGTCGCGGTCGAGGTGGACGGCCCCTCTCACTTCCTGCTGCCCGACGGCCGGGGCGTGCGCAAACCCAACGGGTCCACGCTGCTCAAGCGGCGCCTCCTCGCGGCGGCTGGCTGGAGGGTGATCAGCGTTCCATTCTACGAGTGGGACGGCTTCGCGACGGCCAAGGAGCGGCAAACCTACCTGCAGGGGGCGGTCGCCCCGCTGTTGGGCTAGTACTGTGCTGCACACTGACTGTTATCATTGTCGCTAGCGGGCGTCCCGCAAAAAATAAGAAAAACGCGCGTCGAGAGATCACCGAGGACGGCCGATCTATCAAGTGCGTCTAGTACGTGTGTATATGTCCGACTCGCATCCAGCCAGAGGCGCGATCGCCGCAGCCGTTCTCCTGTACCTTCTGCACGCCCTCTGCTTCTCCGGCAAGTTGTGGCAATGGAACGAGCAAGCCTGGGCTGGGAACGAGCGCCTCCGCTTTGCGTTGATTTCGAGTCTGTTCCTGGAGGTTACGTACTGGTTGGCGCAGCTACTCAACTGGCTCATTATGCGGGATGCTTCCCTGTACCAGCGCTGGGCCATAGCAGAGCGAGGTGACCGTGTCCCCCCCGCTCCCGAGCTCCTCCGAAAGTGCCTCACGGACCTTTCGGTGAGCCACTGCGTGAGGCCTGTGCTCCTATACGCTGCTTACTCCATCTACCTTGCACGCGGAGCGCCAAGTAGCGCGGCTCTTATACCAACGGCCACCGAGCTCGTCGCTCATTTGGCCTTTGCGATCGCTGTCGATGACACCATGTTTTATTGGGCGCATCGGGCGCTGCACCATCCTTGCGTCTATAAGCACATCCACAAGCAGCACCACGAATTCAAGCAGCCGGTCGGTCTCGCAACCGAGTACGCACACCCGCTCGAGGAAGCGTGCAACACGCTCGCCACCGCGCTCGGCCCGCTCCTCTTGGGCTCGCACGTGGCTGTCTCGGTCGGCTACATGGGCCTCAAACTCTGGCAGTCGATTGACGCCCACTCGGGGATGCTACTCCCGGTACCACTCTCACCGTGGAACCTCTTGCCGGGGATGGACTGCGCGGCCGCTCATGATTTCCATCACTCGCACAACGTGGGAAATTTTGGCGGCTTCTTCACGTTCTGGGACCGCGTCTGCGGCACGGACGCTGCATACCGTCGGTTCCTCGAGAAGAAGAAGCAGAGGTGATGCGAGCGAGTCATCAAAACGAGCCAGCCTCTAGTCATGTTGCTGAGGAGGGCAAGGAGGATGAGGAGGGCGATATCGGCGGCCTCAGTTCGGTGGAGCGTTACGACCCGGCGTTGGTTGCGTGGGAGGCAGTGGCGCCGATGGGGACGGCGCGAATGGCCATGCCATTGCCGTGCTGGGTGTCGATTGACAGAACCTGCTCCACACACGCAGGTGGGAAAAGAGCCTGAGCGAGGGTATCCCCTGGGTCTGAGCAAAGAGATGCATCTCTGTCGAGTTCGAGAAGCAGAAGGGTGTCGTGCGTGTGAGTGTCTCGAGGCGTGTGTTAGGCTGTGCAGTAGCCGAGACAGACTTATAGATCGATGAGATGCGTCGCCCTGGTGGTCTCAGACTCACCACGCCAGTCTCTGTTACAGCCTGTGAGCATCTCTTCGCGGGGTTGGGGGTATCGGGTATGTCTCCCTCTGCGGACTGCGCGGACCCTCTCTCTCTTGACGCGGGCGATGGCCAACTTGGGGCCGTCTCGGCCACTCCGGGGCGCGCGAGCTCGTTTTTGCGGGCCACACAGGCCTCTTCGAGGGGGGGAGACGCGCTCTGCGGCCGCAGGGCCTCTCTCCCCCCGCTCTAGAGCTGTTTAACATTAACTTTGGGCCTAACAGTTGCGCTAGTGTCGGCTGAAATCCTTAACGTTGTTCAAGTGTTCACCCCAGCCCACATACACTGTTACTGTTTGTGTTACTGTTGTTACTGTTGTTCAGCGGTCAGCAAGCAGAAAACGTCAAAAAACCCGGCCCCGGGCAAACCCCCCAAATGCCCGGGGTTTCCCAGGTATTTCGGGTATTACCCGCACTCTGGACGCTGGAGATCGTCGTGGGTTTCTGCTCCAGGCCTTCCAGAGCTTCCTCATTGTTGTTCAGCTGGCCTTACGTTAGCTAACTGTTGTTGGGGAGCCCCACTGTTGTTCTGTTACTGATACTGTTAACACTAGTAACACTGTTCAGCTCCCATGTCCCAACGTTATAAACAGCTCTACCCCCCGCTGGCCAATTGCCGCTGGCACTACGGACTATACGTAGAACGACTTGTAGAACGTACGGCAAATTTACGCGAAGGAACGTAATTATAAACAGGAAACAAGACGTGCCCCCGGAAACACGCGTGACACGTGGTTATCAAAATAGCACAAACAGAGGCACCGCACGCAAAACACACGTCCACCCCACACGAGCGTGCAAACACAAAAGAATCGAACAAAAGAAGAGTGAACAACATGCAGCCCTAGACACCGAAAAATGACGACATGCACATGCGGTGGTGGGGCGCCGGCGGCTGCGCGCCCAACTTCTACATGGGTGCGCTCGGGCACGCCGCCAACTCCGTCCAGCTAAACCTCGGCCATCAAGCGATGCAACGGCGGAGGATGTACACCGGCTGGCCGTAGAAGCGCGAGAAGGGCGCGCTGAGCCGCCAAACGCCCATCTCGTCCCGGAAACGGCGCCGCACCGTGCCTACAAGCCGGTTCCGAGCTCTAGCCGAGATGCAGCCGAGAGGCAGCCGAGAGGCGCCGTGCTGCCTACAGAGCCGGGTCCGAGCAGGCGTCGCGGGAGTGGACCCCTTAGCGAACCAGCGGCGGCATGCTGAAGTGCCCGCGAGCGGAGAGAGCTGGATGTACTGCGCCCACTCGCCTGCAGCAACGCTCGAGACAAGACTCACTGGCGGTCTGCGGGGAGATCTGTGGGCCGGACTCTCTCCCACGCGCCGTCCGTCCAGACGCGGAAGGGGCGCAGCAGCTGCTCGAGCCGGGGAAGCTCCCCGCCCGCCGTGAGCGGCGTTACCTACGGCAAAGTTCCGAGAAGGTTCGCGGAACGCGAAAGGCACCTCTCGGGGCCTTGAGACTACCCGAGATTGCCTCTCTGCCGCACACGATCTCGGGCAATCTCGGGTCGGTCGCGGGCAATCTCGGGTCATCTCACCCATGCGGGCTCGTACTCTCGCTGCAGCCGGCGCGCGGCCAGCTTGGCACGGAAGCGCAGTTTGGCCGCCCGCTCGCGCAGCTCGACGGCCTGCGCTCGCACCTCGGCCGCCGCCGCGGGCTCGAGCCGCTCGGCAGTCGCCTGTGCGAGACAGCAGGGAGATCTCTCCGAGGTGTAGCCGACGTCTCGCTGAGATGCAGCCGAGATGCAGCTGGTGCGCCTTGGCGCGAGCCCCCAGCTCGCTCGCCATCCCAAACGCGCGGCGCAACTCGTCCGACATCGGCTCGCGCGCCTGCGGGCAAGGGCGCAGACCAGTGGCGCAGACACGGCTCGTGCAAGGGATCGCGCGCCGCGGCCTCCTCCTCCTGCCTCCCCCCCCCTCCAGCTCGCCTGCTTTGTGCTGCCGCGGGCGGCGAGGAGGCGGGAGAGAAGCTGCCCGAGAGACTTGCGCGGCGGCCGTGCGCCCTCTGCGCGCTCGCGCTGCGCCTTCTCTCGCTGCTCGAGGGAGGCGTACGGGGTGGTGTCCCAGGGAAGCAGTCCGGCCAAGTCCGCCAGCCACAGCAGGAGCGACGCCTGCAGATCCGCACCGTGACTGCTGCGGGGTGGCGAGAGGAGCGGCGAGGCGGAGAGGGGGGAGGGGCGGGAGGAGGGGCGGGGAGGGCGCGGCGGGATCCGAGGAGCGGCGAGTAGCCTGCAGAGCCGTGCCGGCGGCGCTGCGCAGCGCCGCACGAGACTCGTCCATCGGAAGGACTGCGAAGGGGTAGGAGCCGTCTGGACGAGTCGTCTCGAGCAGCAGCGTGGGGAAGTCGTCATCGAGCATGGGCGTGGCGTACCGCCGACCGCTCGTCGAGACTGCGATGACCACGTCGTGCTGAGGCGCAATCTGCACCGAAGCCACCCCTCCGCCACGCGCGGCATCGACGAGCTCCTGGTGCGACCAAGTACCGGCCACGGGGGGCGGCACGAGGCCAAAGAGCGACGAGTGCGCCCACGGATCGTAGGGCAGGCTGCCCGCGTACTGCTCGTCCGCACCGATCCTTGCATCCGCCACCCAAGGCTTCGAATTGGACTGAGGCTCAGAGGGGGCGCTGGCAGCTTTGACTCCCGCTGCGACCGATCCAGCCGCAGCAAGCACGCCGCGGCGGGTCGGCGGCTTGGGCGCGAGCGCTGCGCTGCTGGCTGCAGAGTTGAGGGCGAGAAGGGTGACAAGCATCGGGTTAGCTGCTGGCATCGGGTTACTGCTGTCTGGTCTCGAGGCCCGGCGGCTCGAGCTTCTGGTGGTTCGTCTTCGCCCTTCCCCGAACTTGGTCGACCGCGATCTCTCGGCGAGCTCGCCTCTCCTTTCGCCGAGGCTCGCACCCTCTCGCGGCTGCGGCGGGATGCTCTTGTCGCACGGTGGCACGGGAGCAGCGTCCAGACCACCATCTCGGCGACGTGCGCGCAGCTGCGGCTTGCTGCACGAGCTCCTCGCGGCTCGAACGCGAGCTCGAGGCGGGACATGTGCATGTGCGAGACATGTGCGCGAAGAAAAAAATACGTTTTGCCTTGCGCGCTTGGTTTTTTACCGTCTGCCACCACGAAAAAAAGATTTGTGATGGTTCTCCTACTTGCCCTCTCGTGCGGCGGCGATCGTGAGCAGCGTCGAGCCACTCTTGGATTGCTGTTCACAGGCGCTAACAAACAAAACACATCTCTCTCTCAGGCGCTCATCATCTGCCAGATCGCCGTCGTCGGCCTCATGCTCGTCGTCACGGGCTACCAGCTCGTGCTCACCGCCGGCGTCGGTCGCCGCACCGGCGATCTCTGCTCATCGCGCCGCGCCGCCGTCGTCGGCGAGTGGAGGGCGGCAGCCTTCGTGGCCGAGAGCGTCGACTTGCCCATGCGACCGCGCGAGCGCCTCTGGGTCGCCCGGAGAGCCCCCTGTGCTCATGGGCATGCCGCCTTTGCCAAATCCATATCTCCTCCATTCATGTTCCTTTCGCCATTTTGTACGTGCCTTCAGGTACGGCTCTATCTTTTTCCGCATGATCGCCGTGACACGGCGCTCTAATACACGGTATGCTCTATAATTTTGCGTATGCTTTTGTTCGTTTTGGTTTTGTTTCTGTGTACTGTACTCCGCTCTAAATAGGGGGGGGAAATCACGCCCTCAAGCCCCTCCTCGAAAGGCAAGGTACACGTCTCGACACAAAAGTGAGGTGGGGCAAGGAGCGGCGACGCTCGCGACGACCCGATGGACCGACCCCCACCACCGCGATGACCCCCACCGATGCGCCGATACACACGATATTGTGGGCCTGCACTCCACTCCACTCACTCCCCATCAATACACATCCGCGGAGGCGCTGGTGCGCGCCTGCTCCGCCCCCCCCACTCCCCGCTCCGCCTCTCGCAGGCCGCGCAGCAGCGACGACGTGCCGAAGCGGAAGCTGCGCGGCGAGTCGGCGCTCGCCCCGAGCCACTCGCGGGCGAGGTCGAGGTACTCGCGAGCCTGCTCCAAGTTGCGCACGCCGCCTGCAATCTTGACGCCGGCGCGTGCGCCGCGGCTCCCAGCTGCCGCCAACGATCGGTGGCGGGACACGGCGGCTAGGATTGTGGCTGCCGCGCTGGGGGTTGCCGCCACAGCAGCCTTGCCGGTCGACGTCTTCACAAAGTCAGCCCCGCCCGACAGCGCGGCCTCAGCCGCCGCCCGGATCGCGGCGGCGCTGCCGAGCATGCCGCTCTCGATGATGACCTTAAGCAGTACGCCCTCGCCCTCGCCCTCCTCGCCCTCACTCGCACGGCCCGTCGTCGGCGTCGCCTCCCGCACGGCCCGCACGAGATCCTCCGCGGCCGCAGCCCCCACGCCAATGTCGCGGGCGAGCAGCGCATGGTTAATGACTAGGTCGATCTCGTCTGCACCGGCCGCCACCGCCGCACGCGCCTCCTCCACGACTGAAGCCACGTCTGCAGTTCCGTGAGGAAAGTTGACAACCGTCGCCACACGCATCGGCAGCGGCTTACCAAACGTCGCCTTGTCGGGCGCGGTCAACGGGTCGGATCCGGTAAGCAGCTGCCTGACCAACGGCACCCACCGGGGCCAGACACACACAGCAGCCGCTGACGTCTCGCTCTCGTTGGCGCCGGCTGCCTGCCTCACTAGCTGGTCGATCGCCTCGGCGCTGTCATAATCGGACCCGAGAAGAGTGTGGTCGACGAGGGACGCCACCAGTGAAGCCTCGCGTGCGGCCAGCGACGCGGCGCTCTCGTACGAGCTCTGAGTGCCCTCCCGTTCCACGGACGCGGCTGCGCACTCGTTAGCACGGCGAAGCGCCGTCTTGATCGCTGCGCCGGAGGAGAGGTGGTGGGCGAAGGCGCCAAGGAAAGCATCTCCCGCGCCGGTGGTGTCGCGCGGTGCAACCACGCGCGGCGCACTCACAAACACCGGGGCCTCGGAAGCATTGAAAAGGGCGCAGCCCCGCGGGCCGAGTGTCACGAGGACGCTCCGTGCGCCACGCGCCAGGAGAACAGCGGCAGCAGCCTCGACGTCGGCATTGGTGGCTGTGGGCGCGGCGGCAAGCGCCGCGAGCTCGGGCTCGTTTGCAACGACAATATCGACGAGTGGCCAGAGGGCGTCCGGAAGGCCTTGTGAGGGAGCAGGCGCCGTGTTTAGCACAGTGGTGAGATCCGCGGCGCGCGCGAGCGAGAGGGCCTCCAGCGTCGTCTCGAGGGGCACCTCGAGCTGCGCCAGCAGCACGCCTCCCGGAGGACGGCCCGCCTCAGCGAACGCCGGCTGCGCCTTGCGCACATCCTCGGGAGAGAGCAGCCCGCCCGCGCCGAGAACAATCACGATCGAGTTTTCGCCGCTCGACTGATCCACCGTGATGGGTGCAACGCCGTGGGAAACCCCAGGTGGGCCACGAGAAACGTGCGAGATGGCGACCCCATGGGCCTCAAAATTGCGAATCGTTGAATTGCCGTGTAGGTCATCCCCAACCTTGGTGACCATGGCCACACGGCTTCCGAGCTTGGCTGCCTGAACGGCTTGATTGGCTCCCTTACCGCCGTACCCAAGCGAGAACCTGCTGCCGGCGAGCGTCTCGCCGGCAGCGGGGAGAGCAGGAACATAGGAGATCATGTCCATGCACGACCAGCCCACGACGACGATGTTGGGGCTGGCCGACGCGCAGTTGTCACCCGTGGCAGCCGAGAGCGTAAGGAGGGATAGGAGGGCGCGGAGCATATGACAGACACCACGTGCCCTCGTTTCCCGGGGTTTTGAGAAGAGGGGTTTCGTTCTTATTAAAACTCCTGGGCTCTCAATGCCTAGCCCGCCGTTCTGTCAGCCACGGCCCGCATGTCCAGACAGTGCGGTCAAAGCGAGTAGCCCAGGCTCCCTGCTGGGCGGCTCGCGTCGTGTTTTGAACGGTTCGAAGAAGCTCTTTGTTCACGGTTCCACCGTGAACAGGAGATTGGTTTCCGCTCACATCGATTCACGCCATATGCCGACCGGCGCTGAGCTTCTACGTACGCTGCAGAATCAGCAGCATAGAGCCCCTTCTGTTCTGGCGCCCGCGGCGGAGGACGAGTGGTTCGAGTCCGCCGACGGCAGACGCGAGAGGCGGCGGGCGACCGGCGAGGCTGGAGTGCAGGCCGCGAGCAGCAGCAGCAGCAGCGCAGCCAATGACGACGAGGCCGGCTGGAGCATTGTCCGCCAGCACGCCTCTGAGTTTGCTTGCTGGATCGTCATCGGAGGCCGCGTACTTGACGCGACCGCCTACCTCGGTCACCACCCTGGCGGCGGCACGATCATCCAGAAGCTTGCCGGCCGAGACGCGACGAGAGCGTACGAAAATGCGCGCCACTCTCGAGCTGCCGATCTGAAGCTTCGTGACTATGACATCGGCGCTCTCGGCGATCTGAAGCGGCTGGAGCGGGCGGCAAGTGCCGCGCGTGTGTACGCCAAGCGTCTTGAGCTCGCCGCTGCGGAGTATCTGTATAGGTTGTACTGTAGGAAGCGCGTATGCATAGGCGCAACAAGAATAAGTTTTATATTTTAGCCCTCGTTGTTTCATTTCACCGACGGACGCGGCCATCGACCCGTCTTAAGCAGCCGCACGCCTCAGACAAAGACCTTTGAGCTCTTCTGGAAGTCGACGCCAAAGGCGGGGTTGTCGGTGCTCGCGGAGTGCACAAAATCAACCAGCGTGATGGCGTCGAGCACTGGGATGCGGAGCGCGTGCCGCAGCGCGTCGGCGTACGGCGGGAGTTCGGTGCACTCGAGCAAGACTGCGCGCACCTTCGGCCTCCTCGCCGCCGCCGCCTTGGCGAGGGCCACGATGCCCGGCGTGACGCGCGCGACGTCGACCGCCTCTCCCTTGGCGACTGCGTCGAAGCCGTCCACGTCCTCGCAGCCGAGGATGTGGAAGCGCGCCTGGTCCTCTGGCCTAGTGACGTGTGCAAGCGAGAGCATCTCGCCGAATTTTGGCGCGAGCGACTTGCCGTTGGCGGTGAGGACGAGGAACTCCTCGTCGGCGGCGAAGGAGGCGGCGAGCATGTGGCACTGCATCATGGCCGAGATGAAGCACGGCAGGTGGGACATGCGTCGCGCATCCACCTGGTAGTTCATGAGGAACCCACAGTCGCCCGTTATTCCCACGACGCCCTTCGCCGCCTCGAGCCTCCGGATCGCACCCTCCATCGCCTCGCGCTGCTGCGCGGTCAGCGGCCTTCCTTCCTGCGCCGCCTCAAAGGTGAGGCCGGCGGCCACCTCCTGCACTGTGCGATAGTAGTAGGACCCGGGGTAGTCGACGTCGCCGGGCGCCGGGGGATACGAGTAGTCGATGCGGAGGATGCCGATGGCTGGGGTGGCCCTCTGGGACAGCTCGTCCATCACATTGGCGCGCTCCATTGCAGAGGACCACACGCTGGCGTCGATGTTGCTGCCGAAGCGAGGGTTGTCGGTCGACGCTGCCGCAAGGTAGTCTGCGAGCGTGATTGCATCAAAAACAGGAACGCCGCGCGTCTGGCGCATCGAGTCGCTAAAGGAGGGTAGCAGCGTCGACTCGAGCAGAATGGCGCGCAAGGATGGGTTGGCCTTCTTCGCGGCCTCAATGGTGCTCATAATCTCCAAGCGGAGCCTCTCGGAGGTGTCGACCATGGCCCATGTTCGCTCGTCGCTCATATCCGCAACCTCCGAAGTGGAAAACCCTTCGATGTGCTGCAGACCCTGGATGACGAAGCGTTCCGCGTCCTCCTGGGACAGCCCAATCTCGACAAGGTTGCTTTCAAGCGCAGCCTGGTCGTAGTCGCTGCTGTCGTTCGTTAGGACGAGTATGGTCTCCTCCTTCATGTACATTGTCGCGAGCAGCGGGGCCTGCAACAGCGGCGACAGCACGGCTGGTGTCTTGGTCATCCTCCGCACCGCCGTTTGGTAGTGGACGAAAGACCCGCAGTCTCCGGTGATTGCGACAACGCCCTCCGCGTCGAGCTCCTTGACAGCTTCCTTCAGCGCCTTCTTCTGCGACACCGACAGCTCCTTACCCGCTCGAACGTCTAGGTAGCGAAGACCCTTCACCTCGGCATGCACCGTGCGAAACAGGTACGAGTTGGTGCCCACCACTGCCTGCGCCGGCATCCACCGCGCCCCGTGGCAGCGCAGGATTCCGACAGCTGGTGGCTTGTTCGCCGTCGAATGCTCTTTGGAGTGCGTGCAGCCCATGCGACTCGCGGGCACGGCGGGCAACTGCGGCAGCGCGGCCGCCGTGTTCTTGTCTTGGTCTCTTGGTTGGGCCACAAAGGGGCGGCGGGCGCTCCTGGTTGGATAAAAAGCTGTGTCCCCCTCCCAGTCTGGTCGTGGTCGAGACCTTGGGTTGTCTGTTTTCTTTCTTTCTTTCTTTTTGGTCGAGACCGAGGTGTCGAACTGAGAGGCACTACTGGAGGCTACTTCCGGCCACCGCTCGACTACCCACGCACATGGCCGGTCATGTGGCTTGCCTGGACTCGCTCAGAAGCCTCAATTCGCGCACACCTTTGCTCTCTGGCTCCCGCGAGTGCGTTCAGGCCACTCAAGCAGGCGACGCCGAGCACCCGCAATGCATATCGCCGGGGCGCCACCTATCGACCCGACTGATTGGCAGCATCAAAGCCGACCCCATGACGGTCCTTCAGCCCCACGAGATAGGTAGGCAGTTGCGCCCTGATCTCGGTCCAAGACGGCCAACGCCGTGTCCGGCACCTGCTGGCTGCTTGACGGGGATGCCCCCCCCGGACACATGCTGCAGCCCCGAGTGGATGTATTGGTCGTTTGTGGGTCCCACAAGACTACTCTAGTAGGGGCCGGGCGCTTGAGCGTCGGCGGTACACCTGTGCAGATGTTGCACGGGTGAAATGGCTCCACGTACAGGGTAGGAGGCAGGTGGTGGGTTTGAGTGTCGTGAGTGCTTGCAGCCGCGAGTGCAGCACCGTTTGTGACTTTCATGGATGCAGTTGGGTGGGGCACGGTGCTGGGGGGCGGTCCGGTGCGCCACAACAGCCTCCCTGGCTGACCCCCATCCAGTTCGACACCTCCCATCCTGACCGTGGAACACCCCAACTTCAACCCACAACCGGTCATATCTCGGGCGGACTGGCACCTCAGGAGCTCATCCTGGGCGGTTTGGGGGAGTCTTGGGGGTGTACTTGAAGGCGGTAAAAAGAGTTTTGCACCGCAGCTTAACCGGGGGGCGTGATGAGCAGCGTGAGAACGGCAGGACACAGCTTATCAGTTCTTGGAGTTCGGCGCGATTTCTTACTGCTGCTGCTGCTGTTACGTCTTCCTTCGGTCCCCGCGGGAAGCCCCGCGCATAGGACGATTTCTTACGATTTCTTACTCCCTCAAAATTCTTACTCCCCTACCGCAGGGTTCCGGCTCCTAGCCGGATAGGGTCTGTTGCCACTGACTCGCGCCAAAACGCCCTACCTACCTACCTATCTATCCCCACACCCCAGGCCGCGCAGCGAAGCGAACAAAGTCAAAGATGAAAAGGGCTATACCTACCTATTGCAGGGCCTTTTTGGGCCAAACAAGACCAACCTACCTACCTATCTGGGACGGCCGCCCAGCATTTCCCGCAGCATTTACACGGTCGAAAACAAAATAACGAGCGCATTCGTTGTATGCGAGAAGAATGGGGCGCTCGCTCCCTCCCGACTCTGCAACCCCGTGCGGAGGGGCGCTTCGCAGCAGTCGGAGGTGCCTCGGGCCCTCACCGACCCGGGCAGAGAACCCTTACCGTAGTCGAAAACGTAAAGGTGCCCTCAACTTAGTCGACCAAATCTCTCATATCGCCTATCGCCAGCGACGAGAGTGACTTGACAGCGGCGCCCCCAGCACACCCGATACCGCCGCTCAGCAAGCCAACAATTTTGCATGTATAATATATGCAGCCGAACCACAAGCCGCGCCGCGTGCGCTGCATGGCGTGTGACGGCTGCCGGCTGCTCTCGGACTGTGGCGAGTGCAGAGAGTGCCAGGACAAGCTCCCTTTTGGCGGGACTGGCAAGCGAAAAAAGCTTTGCCGCGCGCGAATTTGCCGGCGCCTCTACCGCGACCGTGAGGAGGAAAGGGAAGACACGGCGGGGGCCTACAAGCGGCCGTTTGCTCTCATCTCTGGCCACCCGCCGCTGTTTGCCTCCTCGCATGCCATACCGGGAGCTCTGATGCAACCGGGGCTTTTCCCCGCCGCGCTGACGCCCGGGAGTGGTGGGCTCATGCCTGGCCCCTTGCCGCTCGCGTCGCTCCTCCCCGTCCGGCCGGCGGGGCCTGCTGCGTGGCCCGCGCTGGGGGGGCAGGCCTTTCCCGCCGCCGCCCCCAGCTTTGCTAGCAGTTCGGCCTGCGCTCTGCCCTTTCCTGCCCTGCATGGCCAGTTCGCTGCAGGGGCACATGTCTCGCCGCTGCCGCTGCCGCCGCAGCACCGACCGCCCCCCCAGCCGCAGCCGACTCCGCAGCCGCAGCCGCCGCCGCCGCCGCAGCCGCAGCCGCCGCCGCAGCCGCTGAGGCCGCAGCCGCAGCATCCGCCGCCGCCGCCGCAACTACAGCACCGGTCCGGCGGGTCTGCATTTGAGAGGGTGCAACCGCTAAGGCAGCCGCCGCAGCCGCCGCCGCCGCCGCCGCCGCCGCCGCCGCAGCCGCCGCCGCCGCAGCAGCGGCCGCCGCCGCCGCTGCAGCAGCAGCAGCAGCTCCTCAAGGAGCAGGCGCAATCCCCTCCCCCCCCCCCCGCCCCTCCCTGGTACTTGCATTCGATGCTGACATAAGGTTTTCCTGTAGCAGGCGCGGGTGAAGGTGGAGCTGCGGGGGCAGCTGGAGCAGCAGCTGCTGCAGGTCCAGCCGCTGGCGGGGAGGGCGCTCCCCGCCCCGGTGAGGCCCCGGTCGACTACGCCACTACGGCCTCAGCCCACCGCCCCTTCAGCAGAGACTACGCCCCTGCGGCCGCAGCCCACCGCCCCGTCAGCAGACGAGGGGGGGACAGAGCCAGCTGCTGCGTGCGCGGCGGCTGCCTCCGCCTCCGGGGCGAGGGTGGACAGCGAGGGGGATATCGCCGGCGGGGACGAGGCGCTTGCTGCGCTCGTCCTGACCGGGCTTGCCGAGTCAGAGTTGCTGCGGGGCTGTGGAATAGCGTCTCTTCACACTTCTAGCTGTGAACAGGCTTGCCGAGTCAGAGGTGCTGCACTCGGCGCCACCGTCGCCTCCGGAGGGGGGTCCGGAGGAGGGGGGCGGCAAGGGCGCCGCTTGGTTGCTCCTCCCGTCGCACCTCCCGTCGCTCCCCCTTTCGCTCTCCTGGTCGCCGGTCGCAATCAGCCTCACGCTCGCCATCGCCCTCGTCGCCGGCAACGTACCAGGATTTGGCAGCTTGGGGCAAGCTGGGGCAGGGCAGCTCCTGGCGCCAAAGTCGCTCGGCGTGGGCATCACGCTGCTCTACGCGTCCGTGCTCTGCAGGCACGGGCGCGTGCAGGCGGCCCGATTGTGGGTCGCCGGCGGGGTCCGCCCTGCTGCTGCGTCGTGGCCCTCCTGCTGCGCGGAGCGTCTCTTCACACTCTGGACCCGCGTGTGCATCAGGTCGCGCACGAGCTCATCGTGGTCATCCTGCTCGGCGCGATGAGGCCGCAACATGTGCTCCTCGCGAGGCTGACCTCCATCCGGCACTCCACCCCCGTCGCCGCGTGCGCCTTCCTCGCCGGCCTGCTGACCGGCGTGCAGCCAATGGCGCCCTCCGACGTGTGGAGGACCACAGTCTTGCTCGCGCTGCTGCGGCTCGCCGGCCTCGCGATCTGGGCGACCCGACTCGGGGACTGGCCTCTGGCCGCCGGCTGCTGGGTGTGGACAAACGTCCCCTTCACCGCCGGCGTGCTCGGGGGGCTCGCCGGGCGGGCGCCGCCTCCGCCGCTCTCGCCGGGCTGCGGTTCGGAGCGGACGTCGCCGCGCCACATCGAGGACGCGGAAGCCCACCTGGATGCGGAGGTCGGCGGCGTCCCGCCTGCAGGGGCTCCGACCGCCGTCCAAGTCCGTGGCGGCATGCCGGCGGGGCCGCCGCCGCCAACGTCCCCGGAGGAGGCCACAGGGGAGGGAGACGCTGTCTCCCCCCAGAGCGCTTCGCGCCTGGACGTGATGCAGAGCAAGCTGGTCCAGCTCTCGCTCGCTCTCGCGGCGGCGTGGGCCGCCCCCCTGGCCGAGTCTCTGCTCGGAGCCGGCTCCGAGAGCCTTCTCGGACTCTTCCTGTAGGTGTGCGCCTCCTTCGCGGCCGAGCTCTACACCGACCCTGCCTTCCTCTTCCTGGTCGCAGGCTTCGCGCTGCTGGTCGTTGCCAACCTGGCGCGGGCTTCGCCTCGCTTTGTGGCGCGCGCGACGACGATGCTTGTCGTCTGTGGCCCGACTCTGCGGCTTGTCCAAGCCCTGGTCTGCTCGCCGGCAGAGCTGGCCCGTGACGTGGACAGCTTGGCAGAAGGAAGGCTGGGCTTCCTCACGGTCTGCGTTGCGGGCGGCGCGACCTTTGGCGTGCAGCCGCTGCCTACCACCCGCAAGCTACTCGCCGCGGGGTACCTGGCTTGCGCGGTGGCGTGCAGTACTGTGGTTTTCCGCATCCGGACGGGCGACGATCGCATGCCCTCCCTTGAGCTGCTGCACGGCTTCCTCCCCTTCCTCGCGTCTTTCCTCGCGGCCTTGGCTGTCTCGGGCCCCACCCTCCGGCAAGACGATAGCTCCGCCCCACTGCCGCTTTCGCCGCCGACGCCGCCGCTCTCTGCGCCGGCAGCTTGTTCCGCCGGGGCTCTCGCGAGGGCGCCAGAGGTGAGGCCCCCGCTCGCGCGCGCGCCGAGTCCCGACGCAAAGAGCGGGCGGGCGGGCGGCGGCGAGAGCTTGTGTGAGCAGCACAGCTGGGAGAGCGACACGACGGCGTCGGCGGAGGGGGAGGCCGCCGCTGCGGGTGCGGGGCTTGAGCGGGCCTGGAGCCGTCGGAGAGTGTTCTGGAGCGCCTCTAGGCGGCCATCGTGGTGCGGGCGGGCTGGGCGTGCGAGGCGCAGGCGCCTGCCCAGCCAGCTACCCAGCAGGCGCAGCTACCCTCGCGGGAGCGGGACAGGGCTCGGGACGAGGCGCCGCGACGACGCGGTCAAGCGCGAGGAGGGGACGAGGCGCCTCCTTCTTGAGACTTCGACTTCTCCTTGAGCAGGTCGTGCGCGCGATGCTCAAGGAGAAGGCCTTCCCGCTGCAGCGGATCTGGGAGGTCCTTTCGTGGGGCCCGAGTTGGAAAGATTCGAGGGGGGGGGGGGGCCCTATCCCCCGCCCCCGGGGCGGGCCCTTAGGAAGGGCGGGGGCTCGATCCGCCCCCGGCCCCCCTTGGTGCCCCCCCCCCTCCCCGGGTGCCCCCCCCCCCCCCCGCCCCGCCCCGCCCCCACCCCGCCCCCGCCCTCGCCCCGCCCCCGCCGCCGCCCCCGCCCCCCGCCCCGCCCCGCTCCGCCCCCCGCCCATGGCTAGACGCACGGCGCCCTCCTCCCATGCTGGCGGTGCCGCACCCCCACACCAACGTGCGGCTGCGAGCCCACCCCCGTGCGCCGTGCCCCCGTCGCCCTCAGGCTCGCCGGCTCTGGCGGCAGCCCCGGGCCGCGAGACGGCACGGCTTGCCTCGTGATGCGCTCTCGGGCGCGAAATGGGCTGGTTTGCCCTGGGGAGCGGTGCACGCTGCTCGCGGCCCGCGGCTAGTAGCTTCCCATAGGCTCTTTGCGCGCCTGCTCGCATTCCCAGTGGGGTGACTCGCGCTGTACTAGAGATACGGTATCCCTGAGAGCGCAGGGGGTGTCATGAGATCGTTCGGCTGATTGTGATTTGTTGGAGAGAGCGCCGCGTGCCCGCGAGAGGCTGTAGGCAGAGTAGGCGCCAATTGGTAGGCGCTCGCTCGCGCGGCGGGTTGCTCACGTCTCTCTCAGCCGGTCTCGCGCTCTCGGCGTGGGTCTCTGTCGTGTTCACTCTCCTGTTCGATGACACATGAGTTGTTAAACTTGGCGGTTAGCAAGGAGCTTTTTTTACACACATATCAAAAACGAATAAATCAAAATCAGACACACACAACTCAAAAGAGACCTGTGGTAAAGAGTCCCGCGCCGGCCACGCGTACCCACCTTGGTCAGGCGGCTGGGCTCCCCTGCTTTGTTCCCATGCTCATCTTGCTGTGGAAGAAGTCGGGGATGCACGCGCCGCAGGTGATCTTTAGGCAAGGGCAGCAGCAGCGTGAGCAGCAGCTATAGCATCCCAGGCAGCAGCAGCTGTACCCCGACTGCTGCCGCGCCTCGGTTAGCGCCTGCCGATCGCCGGCTGGCGCAAGCATGAGCTGGCACTCAGCGCCGAACCGCGCGTAAGTAAGTTTGACCAGCGCCGACTCCGGAATCGCCTCGAAGCGGGTTGATGTGCCCTTGCCGAGCTTGCCGACAACTGAGACGTGCTCCGGAGAGATGCGCTGCACAGTGTCGTACGAGACGCCAGCCACGGGCGTGCCGTACGACACCATCACCGGGAGATCCTCCGGCTCGCTCAGGATCTGCACGCGGCTGGTCCAAAGCACGTTGCACCACGTCAAGCAGTCCACCAACGACCCCGAAACCTTGCTCCCGGACGGAGTGAGGCCGCCCCGGCTCCCGCCCGTGTATTTGTACGGAACGGCGATGTGGGCAGTCTGCAGGCGTCCGAGCACGTCCCCGTCCCGCGCCATGCACTGCGGCTCTGGCTGCATGCCCTCGGCGCTCACCGCACTCACTCGCCCTGACTGCGGCTCTGGCTGCATGCCCTCGGCGCTCACAGGAGATGGCGCACTCACTCGCCTTGAGCGCGCCATTTCCTTGGCAACGGGCGCATCTATTTCTTTTGCATTTTTTATTTTTACCTACATTCCGTAGGAGGACTCTGCATTTTTTATTTTTATGCTCTTACGTACATTCGGGTAGGAGGACGCTGCTGACAGGGTTTGCGACGTAACCGCTTTTTAGTTGAGCTCTTTCAAGTTGAAGAGAAGAGTCTCTCTCTCTTCAAGTTGAAAAGAAAAAAATTGGGAGCGAGGGGGCGGAAGTGTTCAGTGCGGTAGATGGTGAGCTCGGGGCGCGTGAGCCGGACTTGTGAGCCGGACCACCCCCGGTCTTAACCTGCGTTGTTGAGCCAGGACTCAACATACCCGGGCTTTCCTTCCCGCACTGTCACTCCCCTTTCTCCCGGCCGGGGTGGGGCGGGGCGCGCGCGGGTGGCGGCGGGTGTGCGGGATGTCTGTGGGCCCGAGAGCGATATGCCATGTCCGCCTTGCTTTGTTTCCAAACATCGAAGGCTAAGCTCGAAAGAAAAAATCTCCCCGCCTGCGGCCACCGACTCCGCTCCGGCCCAAGGCGAACGGGATGACAGACGACGAGCCCTGCTGCCGCATTTGCTTTGACACGGCCGACTCCTCCGCCAACCCGCTTTTCCGGCCCTGCCACTGTGCGGGCACTTCCGCTTGGGTGCACGTAGAGTGCCTCGACACGTGGAGGCGGACGAGCGTCAACAAGCGCTCCTTCTACGAGTGCGACGCCTGCAAATTCAAGTACAAGTTTGGCGCGCGCGTCGGCGACCAGATTTTCGTTGCGAGGCTGCTGTCGACTGCGGGCGCCATCCATGCCCTCGCCCTCTGTGCCCTCGCCAGCGTCATTTTTGTCGCCGGCTTTGTCGGCAAGCTCTTCGACTCCTCGCTCACTTGGTGGGACGTCCTCCGCTGCTTCAACGCCCACCACCTGATGAGCGGCGCCGCCGCCACAGGCACACGCTCCTCGGCGACCGCCTCGCTCGCCCCCCTCTCTTGCCGTCACCCGGCCGGCGGTGGCCGTAGGCCTCGGGTCGCTGATTGGGTGGGCCTCTTCGGCGCTCGGGCTGACGGGGATGCACCACGCGCGCTTCGTCGTCGGAGACTGGTTCGGCCCCGGCACCCTTCGTGGCGCGGACCGCGACAACGCCTTTGGCCACGTGGTCGCTCTGGTCGCCATCGCGGCTGGGCTCTGCATCGCCTTCTACTGGATCTACTCGAGCCTCGAGGCGTGGGCGAGGCGGACGGCGCGGCACGCGCAGCACATCGTGCTCGACGTGCAAGGAGGCCGCCCGCCGCGGCGCGCGGAGCCAGCGCCTTCCCCGCCGCAGCAGCCACCAGATCCGCCGTCGGCAACGCAGTTCCAGCCAGTTGACTGACGCAATTCCCGCCAGCGCCGCCCGTTTAGCCGGGGCGTGCACACGCCTGTCTGACGCCTGTCCGAGAGGCCGTCGGCCGAGGGCACAGCGCGCAGAGAGCCCGCATCTCAGCACTCAGGCGCTCTGCCAGGGCAGCGCGAGTCGGCACGCGCGCACCCGATCATGTTCCGCCCTCCCGCTGATCTACCCGCCATGATTTTGTGATTATCGTTAGGTGGTCACCCATATCCCCCCGCTCTCAGTAGAGCATTTTGTCGTTTTTGGTACTCTATTCATACGCGCTACAGATTACTCCTCACTCTCCTCACCGCTCACGTTTGTCCATAAATAAATAAAAGTTAAAACGGACGCACCAAACAAGGGCGAGAAGGGGTGGCGTGGGAGAAGGACAGGGTCCCCACCTGCACGAGCAGGATCTTGGAAGGACGATCAGGGACACCGGGGAACGGGAGCGGGGAGCGCATCGCGACACGGAGGGGGGCTGGGCAGGGTTCACCCACGTTTGTTTGAAAGAAAGAAAACAGACGCAAATGAAAAAGAAAGAAAGAAAACAGACAACCCAAGGGAGGGATGGGAGGACGGCACGCCGCCACCTGAGGGAGGACATCGTTTTTTCTTTTTTAAGTTCGCAGCCACACTTCTTCCGGCACTTCTTCTCTCATGTTGTTGTGAGCTGTGAAGGTCGGCCCGCAAATATTCGCTCGGTGGAAACAATTCCTCTTGTTTTCTTTTGGACGACGCCTGCAGGCGCGCTGGACAGCAAACTCTTCCAGCCGCCGCTTATGAAGGTCGCTGTCGCCTTGCCACTCGCCGTCCTGTGGGTCACGGCGACGCTGGCCTGCTCCGCCTACCTCGTCAGCGGCACCTGGTCCAAGACATCGCGCGTCCAAGAGCAGATCCTTCCCGCAAGCCCCGACCCGCCGCACCCAAAGCCGCCCGGCGGCGGCGGCCACAGCGCAGCAGCCACCGCCGCAGGCAGCGCAGCAGTGCCGGTGGTGGAGCGCACTTTGCCGCCACCACCATCGCCGCCGCCGCCGCCGCCGCCGCCGCCGCCGCCGCCGCCGCCGCCGCCGCCCAGCGCCTCGCCGCCGCCGCCGCCATCGCCATCGCCGAGCGCCTCGCCCGGCACGTCTCCAATGGTGGGCTGCAAGCGGCAGGTGCCGCTGCCGCAGGTGGGCAAGCCCTTTCCGGCGAGCGCCTACGATGGCAAGTTCGTCGTCGGCCGCCGCCTCCCGCCCGGCGCGAGCGCCGACACTGTCCGTCTGCTCGTCAAGTCGCTGCTCGGGCTCGGCGCACTGCTCGGTAGGAGTGTCATCCTCCCGCCAGAGCTGTGCGACTGCTCGATCCCGGCGGACGGCTCGCCGCCCAGCTGCACCGGCGACGGCCCACCCCCCTTCGACTGCCCTCTCGCCATCCCTCTCGACACGGCAGCCTGGGCGACAACTAGCTCGCTTCCGGCAAAGGCGACGGAGGCCCGAGATGAGCGCGAGATGAGCGCGAGATGAGCGCGAGATGAGAGCGAGATGAGAGCGAGCGTGCGGCACAGCACTCGCCCCGCGACTCACGCCCCGCCCCCACCAGCCACTGCTGCACACAAGTGGGCCGGGAGAGCCCGGCTGCACCTCGGCTGCACCTCGGCCGCACCTCGCCTGCACCTCGGCCGCACCTCGGCCGCACCTCAGCTGCACCTCGCCTGCACCTCGGCCGCACCTCGGCCGCACCTCGGCCGCACCTCGGCTGCACCCTCGCTGCGGCAACGGCGGTGCAGCTGCCTCGAGAGGGGCGAGCCTCGCGGACCTCCAGCTCGCCTCTTCTCGAAGGTGGTGCCTGCTCGCTTCCTCACGGGCGAGCTGCCCGCCGACTTTGTTGCGTCGCACGTGCGTGTGCTGCTGCCGGCGGGGATGGACGACACCGAGAACAACTACGCGCTGCGGGGCTACAAGGAGACGCGCTCGCTCGAGGCGGGGCCAGGCGGAGGAGTGTGGCGGGGAGGTGGACTGCACTGCTACTAGGACACGCGCTGGCTCGAGGTGGACCAGGCGGAGAAGGCCTTCTGTGGCTGGGATACCCGCATGCCGGGCAACGCCGAGCGGCAGGCGAGCTTCGTCCGAGCGGCCGACGCGCTGCTCGCGGTGGCGGGCGGCGGCGCTGCGGCGATGCACCATTGCACGCACTACCGGGGCGGGCAGGGGGAGGTGCTGCAGTTCACGAACCTCGGCCAGTCGTGCGAGCGGCACGAGGTGCTAGCGAGCCGCGAGCGGCTGCCCGCGGAGGTGCAGGCTCTCCCCGCCGGCTCCGACCTGATGGTGACCTTCGCCACCGGCTCCGTCTCGACGATGGCTCGCAACTGGGCGAGGACGACGCGTGCGGCCGGCGTCGACGCGATCCTGATCGGCGCGCTCGACGGCGAGATGATGGAGGCGTGCGGCGCGCACAAGCTGCCTTGCATCCTCATCGAGGGCGGGGACGTGTCGGCGGCGCTCAAGCAGCGCGCGACCGGCAACGTGCGGTCGGACCCGAAGCTGTACCCGAAGATGAGCGTGCTCAAGGTGGGCTTCTACCGCGAGCTGCTCTCCTTCGGCTACAACGTGTGGGCGTGCGACGCCGACGCCGTCTTCATGCATGACCCGCGCCCGCTGATGGCGGAGCGCAACTATGCCCTCGCAGACATCGCCATCGCCACCGACTGCATCGATATCCCCCTCGACTCTCGCTCGCCGCTGATGCACTGCGACTTCAACACCGGGCTCGTCTACCTGCGCTCCAAGCCAAACACGATCGAGTTCGCCGAGCTGTGGCGAGAGACGCCCGGCCACGAAGGTGCACTCACCCTCCTCCTGGCTTGTCAGGTTCGCGGAGCTGTGGCGAGAGACGGTCGCCAACGCAAAGGAGCACCGCATCAGAGACCAGGCCGCCTTCAACATGCTCACAAAGGTGCGCCCGCCCACGCCGCTGAGCATTGAGGGCAGCCGCGTCGAGCGACTCTTCTCCGTCACCGCCGGCGCCGACGGGGCCGACTTTCGGCTCGCGGTGCTGCCTCTCTCGCGCTTCCTCAACGGGCGCACACTTGCCGGAGGGCAGCGGCGGGGCTGGACACGATGGGGGCGAGCCCGCGGTCTTCTGCTCACCATAGGCACACCTACTTCGTGCAGCACGCGCACACGCTGCCCGGCGCCCCCTCGCCCATGTCGGTGCACATGACGTACCAGTTCGCCGAAGGGCACTCCTTCGCGTACGGCAAGCGGCAGCGGCTGAGAGAGCACGGCCTCTGGCTCGTCGACCCGGACGAGTACTTCAACGGCAAGTACGTGACCGCCTCGGCCGAGCACGCCACGCTGCCGCGCAAGGAGATGGGCGAGCGGGTCGACTCGCGCGACGCGGTGAAGTGCCATCTGGAGGAGGCGAGACGCTTCCAGGACACGTCCTAGACATGTCCGAGACATGTCCCACAGGTCAAGTACCACCTGGAGGAGGCGAGGCACCGCACGAACGTGATCCGCGCGCTGCTCGGCATCGGAAAGGCGCTCGGGCGGGAGGTGATCCTGCCGCGGATGCTTTGCTACTGCGACTTCATGTGGAAGGAGAGCCGCGCCGCTGCCGCGTCGGGCCTTCCTTTCACAGCCATTCACCGGCACCCGCATGATTCGCAGGAGATGCGCAACTGCCGCGTCGGGGGGGCGGAGACGATGCGGCTGCCGTTCGACTGCCCGATGGACCACGTGCTCAACACGCCGAGCTTCTTCGGCGACTTCCACAAGAACGGGACCGAGGGGCGCACCGCGCTCGGCGTGGGCGTGCGCGAGCCAAACTTTCTGCTCAACCCGCGCGTGCCTGCGGCGGTGCGAGAGTCGGTGGCCAAGGCCGCGCTCGGCAAGGGGCTCAACGACGCGCAGATCTCGCAGGCGCTCGCCCCGCACGCGGCCGCGTCGATCATCGAGATTGACGACGTGGTTGGCACGTTTTGCGGGTTCGCCGACGGGGCGGCGAACCGCGAGTTTGCGGAGCGCACGAAGCAGATGCTCACCTACAAGCGCACCCCCTTCTGCATGATGGAGGGCTCCGACAACGCGCCGCTCTTCTCGCAGTGCTGCTCGCCGCGCAAGCCGGGCGACAAGTTCTTCCCGTGCATCCACGGCTTCGACGACCCGGACCCGCTGCCCGCGTGTGCCGCCGGCCGATGAGGCATCGCCGCCGCCGGCATACCAGCGCGCCGCGCCGCCCTCGCGCCTCCCGTCGTGCCACGCCGCCTCCACCGACGCCCCGCTGCGTGCACAACATTGCCTCTGGCCCAGGCTCTTCTCAGACCACTTCTGGCCCACTTGTGCGCTCTCTGATCCGCTCTCTCTCTCTGATGACTTTGATCCATTGCCAATGGTTCCGCACCGTTTGTCGCACCAATGTGAACACCTTTGATTACTTGAAGATTGTGGTCTGACATGAGCGTTCACCAAAAAGCAAGCGCACATCTACATGCCGAGGGCGAGAGAGATGTGCATGGGAGAGTAAAGTACGGAGTAGAGATGTCAAAAACAGTAAAAAAGTCTAAAGAGAACAGAGCAAAAAGAGACTCCCTGCGACGGCCCGGGGCCCCGGCCCCCCGTCCTCCCGTTGCAGCGTTACTGTATAGGGTCCCCGCGCCCGGACCAGACGCGCCGCGTCTCTCACCACCTCCAAGTGCCCTTCGTCCATTTCCACGCCGGCCGGAGCTGTGCCGGCTCGACGTCGTGCACCGCGCCGTACCCCACCGCCTCCACCCGCAGCTTGCCGCCGCCGAGCCGCTTGCGCAGCACCACGTCCCACCAGCCGTCCAAGTACCGCAGCTCCAACCGCGCGCCGCGCTTGACGCTCGAGAGGAAGCCTTCGGGCGGCGGCGGCGGCAGCGGGCGCAAGTGCTTGAGCTGCACCGCCGCCTGCGCCTGCGCGCCGTCCTCCGCCCGCAGCTCGTCGTGCCTAATTCATCCAGCCGCACTCACTTCAGTGCACTGATGAATCCGTCCTCCGCGCCCGCAGCCCGTCGTGCCGGAAGCTCGCGACTTTTCCGTCCACGTGCATTGCCACGCCCGAGTAGTAGCTGCCGCGCGCGCCTACAGGACGGCTGCGAGGCTCAGGGGGCGCCCCGCCCTCGCTCGAGCAGCTCCTGCTTTCGTGCGGCCCTCGAGCGGCGACGCGTACTCGACCTGCATGCCGGGCAGCACCTTCTTGGGCGCCGGCTGGCTGCTGCGCGCCGCGGCGGCGCTCGTCGCCGGCTCCTCCTCGTCGTCCTCCTCCTCCCCCTCCTCGTCCTCGCCCTCATCCTCGCCCTCCTCCTCCTCGCCCTCCTCCCCCCCCCCCTCCTCGAGGGAGCGGCGCGTCTCGGCAGCCTCGTGCTCGAGCACCTACTCACGCCTCGAGCCGTCAAGAGGCGCGGCTCACACTCACGCCCGGCCGGCCTCGCTCGAGCGCACCAGCCCACGGCACCCTTCCGAGCAGAGCACGAAGGCGGCCTGCCGCACCGCGCCGTACCCGAGCCGCACGAACCGCTCGTTTTCGGCGCCGACCATCTCTGCGTCGAGCGGGAGGTGGTCCTCGCAGAAGGCCTAATTAACTCTTGATTAACTCTTAATTAGCTCTTAATAATTAGCGGGAGGTGGTCCTCGCAAAAGGCCTTCGGGCACTCGCTGCAGCGGAAGAGGAGCCCTCCGGCGGCGTGCGCCTTGCGCTGGCACAAGTGGCACTTGTGGTGCGGGCAGGACCACGTCTGGCCGAGCGTCGACACGTCGCCGATGCCGGCGCACGCCAGGTGCATCGAGACCGGGCAGTGGTCGCACATGATCAGGTCGCCGCCGGGCAGAAAGCAGTGCTGGCAGATGGACGAGTTCTCAAAGTCGCGGCCGGCGACGCGGCGCTGCACCTTCCGCTCGCCGCCGCGGTCGGCGCGCCCGCCGAGCTCGGCGTCGAAGACCGACTTCTCGCCCTCCTCGAGCGTGTAGTTGTTGATCTTGAGCACGAGGTCGCCCGTCTCCTCCGACTTGATGAAGCGCGACGTCCGCTCGCGCTGCGAGCGGCCGAGCGCCTCGACGGCCGACTCGAGGTCGACCGGCGCGCCGCCGCCGCCGCCGTCCGCCTCCATCTCCTCGGTGGTGCCTACAGGGCGGTTCCAGGAAAGGTCTAGGAAAGGTCTAGGAAGGTCCTTGCCTCCAGCTCCTCGCTGGTGCCGAGCGCGGCGGACGCGGCCGCCGCGTCCATCCCTCCGCCGCCCGAGCCGGAAGCCTGCCCCGCGTCGAGCGGCCGCCGCCCGCCGATGCCGACCGTCACTTGCGGCTGCCTCGCGGCGGCGCCTCTGGCGACCTCGTCGAGCATCGCGCGCACGAGCGGCGGAGTGACGCCCGTCTCGCCCTCCTGCTGCGCCGCGAGCGCGCCCGCGACGCCGAACTGCAGCATGTGGATCACCTCTGCGCGCGACACCTTTGACGAAGCTGGCGCGGCGTGCGTCTCTCCCGCCTCGCCCGCAGGCACGTCGGCGGCCGTCTCGCCGGCGCCCGCCATCGTCTGCTGCATCAGGTAGAGCTTGTCGCGCGCGCGGCGAACGATGCGCTCCTCGACCGTGCCGTGCGTGATGAGCCGGAAGACAGTGACCGGCCTGCAGGGGAAGGGTGGGCGAGTCCGGATGAGGGCATCCTTGAGGAGGCGACTGGCGGAAGACAGCGGAGAGCGGGGGGCGGGGCTGTGGCGGAGAGACGGGCGGGCGGGCGGGCGGGCGGGCGGGTGGGGCAGTGCGGGGAGACGGGGAGTGGCGTGACGGGGAGGAGGAGAGGCGGGGAAGCGGAGAGGCGAGGCGGGAGGGAGGAGGGAGGGAGCAAGGGAGAGAGGGAGAGGGGGAGAGGAGGGAGAGGGGGAGAGGGGAGAGGAGAAAGAGGAGGGAGAGGAGGGAGAGGAGGGAGAGGAGGGAGAGGAGGGAGAGGGGAGAGGAGGGAGAGGAGGGAGAAGGGGGAGGAGGAGGGAGGGGGGAGAGGGAGGAGGGGGGAGGAGGGAGGGAGGTGGGCCTGGTCTGCCCGATCCGGTGCACGCGGTCCATCGCCTGCAGGTCGGCCTACAGGAGGAAGGCTCCAGGAAGGGTCTGGGAGAGGTGGAGGGAGTGGCCCGTCGCATGCTCGCCGGGGCATGCCTGCGGGTTGAAGTCCGAGTCGTACAGCACGACGGTGTCGGCCGAGGTGAGCGTGATGCCGAGCCCGCCCGCGCGCGTAGAGCAGAGGAAGACGGAGAGCTTGGAGGAGGGCGCGTTGAACGCCTTGATGTCGATGGCGCGCTGCACGCGGTTTGTCGAGCCGTCGAGGCGCGCGAAGAGCGTGCCTCGCGCCTTGAGGAACTCCTCGATGAGGTCGAGCATCGACGTCCAGCCAGAGAAGAGGACGACGCGGTGGCCCTGCGGCAGCAGCTCGTCGAGCAGGCCGTTGAGCGTCGCGAGCTTGCCCGAAGAGGAGACCAGGTCCTCGCCGCACTTGGAGGCGACCTCGCCCATCCACGAGCCGAACAGCTGCGGGTGCGAGCAGCACTTGCGCAGCGACAGGAGCAGCGACTGCATCGCCGTCCAGTCCTTGCTCACGGCGCCCGACTCCTCGCGCCCCTCCTCCGTCGACTGCTGCATCCGCGCGAGCACCTTCGCCCCCGAGAGCAGCAGCTGGCGCGAGAGCTCGCACTGCGTCGCCGACATGGGCACGTACACCAGCGCCTCCGTCTTTGCGGGCAGCGACTGCAGCACCTCACGCTTGAGGCGGCGCAGCATGAAGGCGGAGAGCAGCTGGCCGCACTTGCTGATCGCCGCCTCGTCGATCTGGCCGCGGCCGAGGTCGAAGGCGTCGTCAAACACGGCCGAGTCGTAAAAGAGCTCCGGGTGCAAAAAGTGCATCAGCGCCCAGAGCTCGTGCAGGTTGTTTTGGAGGGGCGTGCCGGTGAGCAGCAGCTTGCGCTGCGCCTTGACGCTGCGCAGCCGGTCGTACAGCGCGGTGCGCTCGTTCTTGATGCGGTGCCCCTCGTCGAGGACGAGGTAGCGCCACTGGATGCGGTGCGTGAGCACCGTCTTCATGTTTTGCGACGCCGCCATCTCGTAGGTGGTGACGACGACGTCGAAGCTCGAGACGTCGGACAGCAGCTCGGTGCGCATCAGCTCGCGCTCGCGCTGGTCCGCCTACGAGGAGGGGCGTGGAGACGGGTCAGGGGAGGGACTACGGAGAGGCTCGCGCCCTCGCGCCGGCCGGGCCGAGTGCAGCCGGATGACGCGCATCGAGGGGACGAACCGCTTGAACTCGTTGACCCAAGACGTGAGCACGGAGAGGGGCGCGACGACGAGGCTCGGCCCGTTGACGTTGCACTCGTTCTTGAGGTAGGCGAGGAAGGCAATCACCTGGAAGGTCTTGCCCAGCCCCATCTCGTCGGCGAGGATGCCGTTGATGCCTTGGCCGTACGCGCGCAGCATCCAGTTGAGGCCCGCCACCTGGGGAGGAACGGGGTGCGGCGCGGACGTGGACGCGTCATGGACGTGTCGTGGGTGCGTCGCGGACGTGCCGCGCGGGCGGGCGGGCGCCTGGTGCGGCTGCAGCGTCCCCTCGATGTAGGAGAGCTCCTCGAGCGCCGCCGCCGTCACCGCCCCCTCTGGGAGCGTCCCGAACGCCTCCAAAGCCTCCTCCGTCGACCCCGCATCCTCCTCCGCAGCCCTGCGGGCCGCGGCGCGGGCGGCGGCCGCCGCGCCTGCGCCCGCGCCTCGGCTGGGCTTGCCGGCGGCGGTGGCGCCGACCACGGGCTGCGCGCCGCCGCCCGCGCCGCCGCCCGCGCCGCTGCCCGCGCCGCTGCCCGCGCCATCGGCCGCGCCGCCGCCCTCGCTGCCGCCCGCGCTGGCCTCCGCCTCCGCCTCCATCTCGACGAGCTTCCGCTGCGCGAACTCCTCCGGCTCCTCCTCGCCGAGCGGCGACGCGGCGCGCGACGGCTCGGACGGCGTCGGCGTGCCGCGCTCGCCCTGCCCGCCCTCCTCCTC